AAAAATGCGATCGTGGCAATTAGTGATCGATTTATTAGATAATGCCTGAAGCTAAATATATGGGAAAGGCATTAGTGTAAGGTATAGTTGTCACTATATATTATTTACATGAAATAATTTTACCTTCGGACATAGTAGTAAAAACTCGCGAGCAAATATATTTTGAAAAATACGCGACGATAAGTAACATAGCTAACTCGATGTCGACAAGGAAACGTAATTTACGAGGAAAACTAGATATTTTCGTTGCAATAATTTGAAGATCAAGTGTTTGCCTTTTTTCCTGCTCGAACAACATCCTCGAAGTGACTTTAAAAATGTCCACGGTAGCACGACGTCAAGAAAATACCTTGGACTTGCCATTTAAGAGTTTACCGTGCGAATACACCGACGAGTAAAGGTTAAATAATGCCTAAGCCGAGCTATTAGTGCACTTTGCTGAACACGTTGTTGTCTTTCCCTTTCCTAAGACGTTTTTCCCAACGTCGGAACCAATATTTTATCATCCGAACTCCGAAAAAGCTCTCTTCTCGTTTAGTATCAGCACGCATGTTACCAAGCACCACTTAATCAAATTAAAATGTGTCATTTTTATTCTCGAATATTTCTATAGCTTCGAACATATTTTAATTTCAATTGAATTGTTCTCCACGTGTTTCAAATTGCCTCTAATTCTCCTTCGTTTGTTTTAGATAGACTCACTGAAAATCAGTATGAAAAATGTCATTCGCGATAAATTATTTTCATGTAAATCGTAAAAAATTTTCCGCTTAAATTAGTATACGATTTTTCTTCATTAAATAAGCGTAAATACACTTCACATAAAGTACAGGCAATCTGTCGTGTATGTATGCAAGTATAGTTACCATTCGACAGAATAGTAGCTTATTCGTTTGAGCATAAATCTTACGAAAGCACAGTTCGATCTATGGACATTTAGGACGAAGCTTTTGTTCATTTAATACCTAGCCGGTATTCCTATAAAATTACATCTGTTTGGAAACACGGTCTATCGTCGCGTAATTAAAAGCAGAACACAATACGAAGAGTTTCGAAAATAGCGCAGAAAAAATTGGGGCGTTTAAGATCGTTCCCCGTTCGAACCGCGTTGCATCAAAATCAATTGCGCAAGAAGGAAATTAGATATTTTTTCTGAACCATGTCAGATTAGATTTCTGGACGATAGAGTCGGATGTATTAACAATAAAAAATTTCCCACGATTATAACGATCTGTCGATCGAGCGTGCGTGAGTAAAGTCGGCAAAGCGCAGTGGTTAGTGACGTACCGTGCGAAAGACAGACGCTTGCATCGAAGTTGTTGTCATCTGGGGCTCCGGTAGCTTTAACATTTTCTAGAAATTCACACATAAATCGTTGCGCAACGTTACACCTGCTTGTTCACTGAAATCCACGGGAGCACAATAATAATAATAATAGAAATCTCGTCTTTTTCCGCTGGAAACTTATCGATAAGTTTCTAATGACTGTGCTATATTTATAAAAAGAAAACTGCATAATTTCCTACCAAACAACTTTCGAGAGTAATTGCATAATCTTTTTTTAAGAGTAACAATTTCAGAAGAATCCTCATCATTTTCTGCTATAAATATGTTATTCTTAATTCTAAAATTATTTAGAAGATTATTACTTAAAATAAAATTATGGAGTTTCTGTTTAATTATTCCATAATCCTAATTCCATAATCTTTTTTTAAGAGTAACAATTTCAGAAGAATCTTCATCAGCAGAAAATGATGAAGATTCTTCTGAAATTGTTACTCTTAAAAAAAGATTATGGAATTAGGATTATGGAATAATTAAACAGAAACTCCATAATTTTATTTTAAGTAATAATCTTCTAAATAATTAAATAATTTTATAAAATAATAAAATAATTTTATAATTTTATAAATAAAATAATTTTAGGAATTAGG